CTTGACCAATATCAAGGAGGAAGCGCACTTCAGAGGTAGAGCTGAGGACGTCACGGAGGACAACGTGAATACCAACCGATACCAAACATCTCGTTTTTCTAATAGTCTAAGAGGAGCGGAGCGAAGCATCGGCACACGCAGTATCGAGATTGTAAAATCAGGCATACAGAATTCCAGAGAAGTTTTCCAAGGCCACTCTCAGGACAACTCACGTTTATTTTGAGCTCGCGCTTGAAATTGACATATGAATCGGCAATGGCATTAGCCTGCTGTCGAATAATAGCAACCGCTTGGTTATGATAGAACCTACGAGAAGCAACCTGCCTACTCTCAGGACGATGAATGAATCAAATGCTCATCGAGAACTCCCAGAGATCGCTGAACTCACGCTGCGGCTCTAACATCTCCTCCAAAGCTGCCCTCAGAGAGACTGAGATGCTGGATGACATAGTCCATCATGATACGTGATAGTCGTGGTTGAAGAGAACATATTTGTAGGAAGTAGGTGAAGGCGACTGGAGAAAGGCTTGGAAGCTCACTGCTCGTCTTCTTACCCACTGGCGCTGAACAATCAACAGCAAGCTCACGTCTAAGGCTGAATGGTCAGGAGGCCCTCGAGGCCCCTTCCTTACCGAGTATGGTTGTTGCTACATGCTCTGGATCGTACTCACCGTTGGGAGGGGTCTCTCTACTGAGTTGAGACATCCGTCGCTTCAGAAGCGTCAGCCACTACGTGCAAGCATCTCGGCGATCCCAACCATCCCTCTAGAACCCACCCGTCTATCCACCTCTCGATTTTCCAGGCCGAGGTCGCGTAGCCTGACCAGCATCTCGTTCACGTCCCTCCCCTCGAAAACTGCTACACCATCTTCTTGCCGCTGTCGCAGGGCCCGCTTGAGAGCGCGGTCCAGCAGCTGAGTTACGCTAGTCGTGGCGACCCAAGCTGGGAGAGCTCTGACGGGGACTTCATAACGATAAGCTCTTGGTTTAAAGATATGTACTTGATAACGTCACCATATATCCGGCTAAGTCCAGCATCTTCTTCCTTGGTCCACGGGCGATTCGAATTACATCGTTTCAGAACGTGCCAGAGGGACGCATATTGTAATTTGGTACTGGTCTGTGGTGGCAATAGGCGGTGGCTGAGGAGCATTTAATTGATGACTCAAAAACACTTTCGGCGGAGCGGTAGTGATGTGGGGTCTCTGCACGAGTTACTTCGGTTAACACAAGGACGAATAAAATGACAGAAACTCGCACATAGGACATGAGGATCAATCCACGAACCAAATCCGAGGAGCTCGACAGTTTTCTATCTTCCCTCGATAGGCATTCTTGTGATCATCAAATCCAGCAATACCAATCTTGGGGAACTGAACTTGTCCATCCTTCCAAACCTGATAGGATCATGCTGCGCCCTCAATGCTCATGGTATGCCTCACAAGGCAATGGCAGTTGAGATTCAAAGCAGGAGTTGGGAAAGTGCTATACGGTGCTTGTTAGTCGTAAGCCTTCCTTACCATGCGCCCTCGTCGGATAGCTGTCTTATACTTGCGACGAACATTCAAGCGGTTGTAGAAGCGCCATATAACCGACTTCGAGAGGTGTATCTTCCATCGCTGCTGACCACACGTGAGGAGGCCTCCTGATGGTCTCTGCACTACGGGTTGCCGTAGAAGGCTCAATGAGGATAACATGGGGGACGAAATCAAAACACCGCCGCCTAGAATCGAACCGGGGACCTAGAGACGCTGGACGACACTACGGAGAGCACGGTAATCGTTCACGGTCGAGCTAAGTTCTTTGCGAACGGCTATGCGATAGGCTGTCTACTATCTGCGAGGCTGGAATGTGAAAACTGAGTGAACGCAATAGCGTCAGTTGGTCAACGGTCGATGACTAGCGAGACACCTATACGGGAACATTGTGAGTACGGACAAGTTGCTTCAACGGCCTTCTATACTCCAGTATGGGCTTTAATTAGAGATAGGGAGAATACAGTTAACAAAACAAGCGACCACAAAACAAAGTAGCGAGTTCGGGTCTCTTGAGAACCTATGCGCCCCTGGAAAGCAGATTAGTTTCCATAAGACATTCGCCTGGGATGATACACACGAGGTTCGTAAAGAGCTGATGAGCACGTCTGGGGCATGCAGCGTTGCAAGTAGAAACATGTAGAGTCTTAATTGGTATAAAATGGCGTTACGTAGATACATACGTTGCTGCAACAAGAAGAACTGACTGCAAGCTCCGGCGGCAACATTTCGGAAGACTTCGACTCGGCAAGATGAGCTCTTGTGCATGCGTGCGGCGTGTCTCGCGCTCGCCCACAAAGTTTCTTACGCGCCGGAGTCTGGCGACGGTATGTTTCCCGATGGAGAATGTTGATTTAATAGTCTTGTTTGTGAAATGAATCGGATATTCGGGGTCGGTAAGAAGAAGGAAGCTCCCCCAGCCCCGACAGGGCCGTCTCTGGCGGAGACTAGTGAACATTTAGACAGCCGAGTTGAACTGTTGGATAAGAAAATTAAACAGTGTGATGAGGAGCTGATCAAGTAGTAGCATCCACAACAGCAGCAGCTAGGGCAGTACTAGGCTACAGGTACAAGCAGCAAATGGCCACTAGGTCCGGTGCGGCCGGGGCGAAACAACGGGCGTTGGCGGTACTGAAAAGGAAGAAGATGTATGAGGGTCAGAGGGACCAGATGATGAACACACAGTTCAATGTGGACCAGGTACTCGACA